GAATCTGCTCACATCCCTCGCAAGGTCTCCTCTCTTCCATTTGCTTCTATTGCCCTCTGCTGGGCTCTGGCAAAGGGAAGGACGGAGCCCTGGGACGTGCCCTCTCCCCCTTTGCCTCCTCTCCTGCCCTCTCCTCTGCAATTCTAGGGGACCTCAGAGCCCCATTTGGGGTGCCAGCATCCCTCAGGGCCGTGCAGACATCCTGGAGAGGCAGGTCCCTCCTACAGCACCACTCACACTCACGGGCACGGCCAGCCACGGCCACCTCTGGGTGACAGGACACGTGTGACAGTGGCCAGACACTGATGGAGTCTCCAGAACATCTGTGTGCGAGAGATACAAACCAGCTCCAGCTCTCCCCGCCCAGATTTGGGCCAGACTTTTTCCCCATGATGCCTCAGGCTTTAGCTTTTATACTTTTCAGACTCTGTGCTGCTTTAGTGTGTGGGTCTGAGCTTCGTATTAGGGGATGGTGAGCTCTGCACAGAGCAGGGAGACAAAACAATTCCTTCTCTAGCTGGGCACCAAGGACAAATGATCCAAATCTCAGACCTGAGAGCACAAACAACATGGGCTGAAGAGAGAAAAACAAGCAGGATGGGACTTCACAACCTAAAGCTAATTGGACACTTAACTCAAATATGGAAATGGACCAGAACTTATAAAAGTGAGAGATGTTGTGACTATTTTGTGCCTAATGTGTATCCACTGAGGCCTCCTACTAAATCCCTACTTTATGGTTTAACTCTGTCTGGCCTCTGCTCGAGGTCAGCCTTCACAAGGCATCACCCACAGGCTCAGAGCAGGATGGAAGGAGCATCCTGAAACCACAGCTCAGCCAGGGCCAACAGGGAATGCACAGGGTGGATCACATATAAAACAGAGGAAAGAACCACACCTGGAAAGAGTTTTTGCCAAAACCAAAGTGGGGATTGCAGTCACTGGGGAGAATCTTCAGACTGCCCAGGCAGGGGTTGAGGTGGAGGCTGAATTCCTCATTCAGGGACTTGGGGTTCAGTGAGCAGATGGTGGGAAATGCAGGATCTGAAGTGGCAGGGCTCCAACAGAACCAGATGGCAATGAAGTGCTGCCCTGAGTCACAGAATCAGGGAAGGATAGAATCATAGACCATAGACTCATGGAATCACAGACTAGTGGAATTGCAAAATCACGAAATTATAGAATTGCTTAGGTTGGAAAAGTCCCTTAAAAGTCCCAAAAAGCACCCCAGCACAGCCAAGCCCAACTCTAACCCAAAAATCTAGAACTAAAATCAAGAAATTTTAAACAAAAGGATTAAACATCTCCTTTCTCCATCCAACACCAAAACCATTAATTTTGCAGTTTTGAAAACATTATTTTTCTTTAACTCCTACCAAGTGATCTTGAATTGCTCTGTTTTGTCACATCCTTTTGAGCCCTCCCAGGGATGGGAAGGAAGGGACAGTGGCTCTCATTCAGGAGTGATCTTTGCTGCAGAACAAATATGCATCAAGGTGCTGACACCCTGAGACCAAGCAGCACCAGCAACACCAAGAGAAGACCCACAAAGCCCTGAGGACCTCGGGAATAGGAGGGAAAATGGGAGCCTTGGCTGGTTATAGTGGCTGTGTCCCACTGCCAGGGCCTGGGAGCAGTTTGGGGCAGGAGCAGAGCTGAGTTTGAGTGTCCCACTGGGGCTGTGCAGTAAATTCCAGGCCAGATCCCACAGATGTGCTGCTCCATCACAGAGACATCCATGCCCCACACTGGGCCACCACCAGCCAGCTCAGGAAAGGAACAAATTGGCAGCATTCAGAGGAATATTCTGTAGGTACACAGCTTGTAGTGATTGGGATGGGCTGAGCCTCATCCCCATGGGCACAGCTGTGAGCAGCAGGTGAGCAGCACTGACACAATGAGCCATGGAGTGCCCAGGGGCACTGAGCAACCACCAAAGGGAGCAGGGGGCTCACAGGGGCACTGCATCAACATGAGGGGATAAAAGGTTGGGCTAAAGAACAAGAAGGGCAGACCCTTGCAGCCTTCTGAAGAGGTGTTGCTCTGTATGGGTTGGAGCTTTCTGAAATTGGGTGGTGATGCTCTGTGTATTGTGGCTGTCTCTACTGCCACAGCATCCTTCATTTCCAACCATATCGTTTCTGTCCTCTGGCAAAATAACACCCCCCTCAGCTTTTGCATTTTGTCAGGCTGAGCCCAAGGTTTTTGGAAAAGGGAAGAAACTGGAGACTGTTGGCCTGGGACAACTGGTGAGATTTCAGCAGCAGAGGTGCTGTGGGGGCAGATTAAGGCTCCCCTGTCTGCCTCCAGAGCTGGAGGGAAGGGATGAGCCAGCAAGGACAGTTCAAGGAGCAATAGAAAGGACCAGGATGTCCTAGAACCAACTGGGGATGACCAGCTCTAAGGGGAATGCTCTTTTCTCCTTCAACACAGTGCCACCTCCTACCATTGCCCCATCCCATCCAGACCTCCTTCCCCCAGCAGCTGCAGAAAAAATTTTGGAGGAGAGTGGCACAGGAAGGAAAAGAGGGAAAAATTACAGCAGGTCCTTGGCCGCCAAGGGGATGGAAATGAAGGTGACTTCAACATTTCCAAACCAGCCAGTGTCCCTCAGTCCCAGCCGGTGCCAGGCAGGCTGAGGAGGGGGGACAGACAGACAGACACCAGCCTGGAGCTCTCTGCTTCCAGAAGTCCTCACACACCCACCGGATTACGGATGATAGAGGAGAGGAATGCCTTATACCAATTAATTCCCAAAGTGTAATTAACATCTGGGCTGCTCCATGTGATCCCCAAGTGCTAATGAAGCATGGCACCGCTTTAATTCCTGCTACGCTGCACCATCTTCTCATTAAATCCAGGAGCAGGTTCCATCACATTTCCCTTAGAGGGAAAAAGGGGAAAACAGAGAAACGGAGCAGGATTTGTCTCAATGAAATATGATAGATTAGAGTTTGCTGGATAAAGAAAGTAGGGATGGGGGGAGGGCATGCAATGGGAAATTTCTTAGGTGCGTGCATGCGGGCATCTGGAAATTCTCTCTCCCCATGACCTCCTTACACCCCATCCATCAGCCTGGGGTTGGCTTATTCCAAGCAGCAGAGCCTTTGCTCACGTCTAACAGGCCCACCGGACACAATCTGCATGCCAATTACTGGAGCAGACCCCCTGATACTGGGAATGGAAATTAGCTGTCAAGGAAAACCCGGCATCAGCACGGCTGGGCTCGCACTGCTGCGCTCCCCGCTCATCTCCACGGGCGCCCTGCTCCGCCGTGGCGAGGGAAAAATGGAAAAAGTCATCTGGATAACAATAAAATAAAAACTAATGGTAAAGAAAACAGCCAAGTAGAAGTTTATTGTTATTTGTGTTGGTTGCAAATGTTGAGGACACAACGTTCACCCGAGGGCAAGAGCCTGGAGGACAAGGAGAAGGAGGGAAGACTTGGGATAATTGGGTTTTAAAAGTGGGGAGATCAGCAGTGAAAGGGAAGGACATGGGAAAACATTACCTTAAGGGCAAACCAGATCCAGGTCTGGCTCCTCCAATGCTCTGGGGTGGATGAATACCAGCAGCCACAGAGCTGGAGCATCCCAAACCCATCCAGTGCAGGGCATGTGGGATGGGGACAGGGGGACATTCCCAGAATCAGGGTGGGAGGTGGTTAGAAATGCACTGGGTGGAGCTCACCTACCTACAGATTTGCCATCCACAACAGGGACAGCAACAGGCTCAAAAAACCCAGTGAAACCCAACCGTGTCGCTGGGTCATCTGCATCCTGCTGATCTGTGATGGGGAGGAGGGATGGAAGTGGGTGAAGATGCATCACTGTTTGCAGGGAAAGGATGGAATGGGGGAGGGCTCTAAGGGAGGGGGTGACAGCAGGGAGAGGAGGAAGAAGGGGAAGGCAACTCTTCAGTTCATCTTTGTGCTGAGAGAAGTCCAGGGGGACTGGACTGGGCAGCTCCTTTCCATTCCCCACCGGCAGCAGCTTTCCCAGGAGGTGGCAGCCCCGTGGCTTGACGAGCATCCCTTCCCCTGGCTCCCTGCTCCGTAATAACCTCATACATCAACGGGAGGAGATTGCAGAGCACGGCTGGGAGGGCTCTGCTTCCACCTCCAGCCTCATTGTCCCAAAGCCCCTCAGCTCCATGTGCAAGCACTGCACGGCCCCGGGGTTCCCAGGGGAAGAGTGCCCAGTCATCAGTTATTCCTGCCCGGGAGGCTGTGCCTGGGACCTGCCTCTCCTCTGGCAGCACCGGGCAAAATGGGGAATTTCTGGTGGCTAACTGGGAGCCCCCTCTACTCCCTGCACATCTCAGATGTCCAGGGAGCTCTTCCTGCCCTTCAGCAGCACTCACTGCCTCTATCCCACACCCAGGCCACTCTCCTGCTTCCAGCTCCCGGCTCTGTGCAGTGCCCAGCCCCGTTTAAGCAGCTGAATCCCTTGTCTCACATCTCCAGGGGACATCCTGAGACACTGACAACATGACACACTGGGCTGACAGTGTCCCCAGCATTCCCCATGGTGATTATGGCTGTCCCCCTCCAGCTTCATCTGAGATCTCAATTTTTTCCCAGTCCTGTCACCCCATGCATCATGAGAAGCACAAACTCATCCAGTACCAGGACAGCAGCTGCCTGCTCAGGCTGTCCAGGAGGACACATGGCACTGACAAAAACCTCATCCCTTCTCCCAAGCCACCATGGAACAGCAAGAGAGCAGGCAGGGACTCCACAGGGACATGACAGACCCAGCCACCCACAGCCACCACCAAAAACTGGCACCCAGGGATGTGTGGTCCCACTGCTCCACTGGGATGGCCAAAGGCTGGAGCACAACCTCCAGCTTCAGGGCGACTTTTTCCTAAAGGATCAGAGGGACAGGGGATGGGGAAGGGCGGGACAATGAGGCAGAGAAGGCTGTGCTCCACCCCATCTCCCAGGAGGCAGGACATGTCACACCCAAACCCCGGGAATGAGCGGGACAAGGCGGAGCTGAGCGACTCAGTTGCTTTATTGGGGGTGTGCAGGGTGTTGCCGGGGCTGGCTCACTCGGAGATGCTGCGGAAGGACTGCACGGCGGGGCTGGCCGCGCCCCACTCCACGGGCTTGCGGTACTCGCCCTTGGGCAGCACGTACTGCCGGCCCCGGTAGTTGGGATGCTCGTAGAACACCCAGACGCCCTCCAGCACCCTGCAGGCGTGCACCTCACGCATGTGCCACTCCTCCATGATGGAGGGGCAGTCTTCGGTGGCTTCGAACATCTGCCCGCCAAAGTCTCCCTTCTCAAACACCTGGATGTGGCCTCGGCCTCCGCTTGGCTGGGAAAAATTAAAAAAATTTTAAAAAAAAGGGGGTGAGGGAGAGAGAAAATCATAGCGTCATGGGAAGGTTTGGGTTGGAAGGGATTTAAAGATCATCCAATTCTACCTCCCTGCTGACGGAGGGCACACCTCCCACTATCCCAGGTTGCTCCAAGCCCCATCCAACCCGGCCTTGGACACTTGTAGGGATGGGGCAGCCACAGCTTTTCTGGGTGGCTTCACTGGCACCCAGAACATCAGATGGAGGCGCTGACACATCCCAGCTCTGACATAGGGGCAGAGTTTGGGCACAGCCCGACTCAAATCAGGTACCAACCACCCCAGCACAGGGTTGAAATCTCACATCAGCCTCCAAAAGCACAGGGAGAAGCAGCTGGGGTAAATTTTAACAGAGCGTCACATGCAGAACAGGGATAAGCTTGAGTCTGCAGCACCGGTCTCGCTATCCCGGGCTGCTTGAACCCCTCAGTGCTCCACGTGAGCATCAGGGAGCCAGACCCCCTCCAATCCCCTCTCCTCCGGGCAGAGAGGAGTTTAATGAGCTGCTGACCCCACCGGGCTTGGAAGCGCTCCTTGCCCGAAGGCAGCGTGGCAGCGTCTGATCTGCAGCTGCCTGGACACCTCTTCCCCAGCCAGCCCCTTCCTTGCCAGCCCCAGACGAGCTCTGCAGGGTCTCGGGGTCTCCCCAAGGCAGGAGGGAAAGCCAGGACCAGGTGGATATGCAGGATAAGGAGCCCACATTTCATCCTGGTGGAGGAAGCTGTGCTGCTCTTACATCTCGCACGTGTTTTGGCTCCATGTCTTAAGCCAGATCAGTGCTCTGAATGGGCTGGAAACTCTCCTTGCCCCATGGAAAGAGACTTAGACTCAGCTCAAAGCCAGAACAGGCTCAGAGGGGTGTTAGACTCTCAGGCAGAAAAGCAAAACCCGTTCTCAGTTGTGAGACCTGCTCCACGCAGTGGGAAATTCATGGCCGTGCTCCAAGTCAGCAACCTCTGGATCACCAGTGTCTGCCCCACTGCTGGAAAACCTCAGCAGCAGCAGCACCACCAATCCACACTTCATCCACAATCCCAGCTTTAAAGGATGCTCCTCCCCATAGGCTTCCCAAAAGGATCATTCCCTCTGTTCCTTTCTCCCCATCATCAGTTAGGAGGGGATGAGCACACCTCCTTTGCTCTCCTGACACCAGGAGGCACCAGGCTGCTCCAAGCATGGCCAAGGAGGGCTCCAGGCATCCCTCCTGTTTCTGGACACTCCAGGGCTGCTACTGGCCTTGGTCCCTCCATGCCCAGAGGGGTTTGGTGACACGGATTCAGTGCCCTGTATCAGAAGGGAGTCCTGGCTTGCCAGAGAGGAAACTTCCCCTCATTCTAAATGTTCCTGCAAAACCACTGTCACAGGCCTTGAGCCTGTTGGATCCATTGGTTGCACGTCAGGGAAAAGGCGAGAAGCAAACTTTGGAGCAGCCTGCCTGGCCACTGAAATTCCTAAAGGAACATGTTAATGAAATTATACTGCTGTCCCTATGGAGCTCACCCACACTCAAAGGCATCTGCCTTTTCCCACTGCAATCCAGAGTGGGAGACATTCACCTTCTCCCCACACCAAACACCTCGGCTGCTCCCAGAGCAAGGCCTCTGCAGCCACCCTCTCTGTGGCTCCCCAGGGTGATGGGCACCACGTTCCCCCAGGTGAAACCTCCCACGCTGGCAGTAGGTGACAGCAGCCCCTGGGAAGGGGCGACACCTACGATCTGGATGTACTTGCAGGAGCCCAGGCGGTCGTTGAGGCCCATCCAGTGGTGGTAGTCGGGGTACTCCCCGTGGCTCAGCACATACATGTTCCCAGCATAGTTGGGTCTCTCGTAGGCCACCCAGGTGCCTCCATCCACACGGATGGAGTTGCAGCGGCTCAGGTAGGAGTGGAAATCGGGGCAGTCGCTGTCGCACTCGTAGTAACGGCCGAGGAAGTTCTTGTCTTCATAGAAGGTGACCTGAAACGAGCAGAGAGGGGAGAGTGGGGAGGTTCCTCATCCAGCACAGGCCTCCATATTCCAGCCACATCATGGCAGGAAATACCTGAAAGCAGATCCCTCAAGACGTCAGAAATCATCAAGTCCAGCCATGGAACGGGACCATCTGCAGTCAGTCAGACTAATTCACCTGTCTGGCCCCAGTGCCTCCAGCTGCCACCAGTGTTCTGTCCTTCCCAGACCTTTGTTCTGTCCCAGCCCAACACAACACTCCCACAGAGAAGTCCCTGTCCTTTTTTCTAGCAAAACACTATCAAAGCAATTCCCTCCCACCTCCTCCAGATCAGGAGTTACTGAACTACGGCTGTGAGAAGTCAATGGAAAGTACAAGGCAGGTTTTTGGGGAGGACATGGGTGGGTCTGGCAGCACTGGGTTAGCAGTTGGACTTAAGGCCTTTAGAGGGCTTTTCCAGCCTTAACAATTCCATTATTTCCTTTATACTGACTTAGCAAGTGTTTGCAGCAAGATCTTTACTGATAAGGGGGTGGAGAAGTCTCTTTCCTCCCAGGTCATGTCTTCCAGCCCATCCTCGTTCCCACTTGAACAACCCAAAACTCCCTTTCTCAAAACTCACTGCCCAAAGCTGGACATCACACAAGCTTTGTCCATGCCAGGAGAACCTAGGGGAGCATTCCATGTGCATGGTGAGGGGCAGTTTTATGGATATCCAAAGATTGTATTTGCAGTTGGCTTGTTCTGCTTTGGTTGCTGCAAGTCCACAAAACCTCTGACAAATTCACGATCCATCCCCACATTTCTATCCCAAGAGCTGCTCTATAGGCAGGCTGCTGACCCCAAAGCACTTTATCCTTGATCACAACCTGCCTTGAGATGATCTTGGGAGCTGATGAGCAAATCCCATTCCTCCCACCTGAGGTATCACCCACCTGGCCAGCCCTGGAGAGGAGACCCAGTTTTCCTCAAAAATCCTTTCATGAAAATATTGCCAAGCCCTAAACCAGACCAGTCCTTTCTCCAACCCCATTTTTAGATCCTCCCATGTGACAATTACCCATCAAATGTTGCTCTTCTCCAGGAGGATTCCCAAACCATCACATCTATCTTGACTGCATCCCTTTCTTGCTCACAACACCAGATGGTCTAGAGAGAATCTTTCTGGCCACACCCACCATGCAGTGGTCCACAATCCATTTTTCCCATTTTTTTTCCATAGTTTGAGTATTAAGACACACCCCCACCTCCTGTACTTCACCTACAGTGCTTTGGCTACTGGTATCAATGTAACCTCCCTGCTCTTAAAAAATAATTCATTGCCAGTGTTTCAACCCAAATCCAGGGCAAATCTCTCACTTTTTATTTTTAATCATTTGTTTTGTGCTAAAAATTAATTTAGTCAGGGTTTTCCTGGAGCTGGTTGGTCAGCATGTCCCACCAGCCTGACCAAGAGATCTGGGGAGTCAGACTGATCTGCCAGAGGATTCATGCTCTTGATTTTGTGGCTTGTTACTGGACATTTATTAGGATAATGCAATTTTCCCTCTTAATTTCAATGATTGATTTGCTATCACGAAGCACTTGGTGCACACAAAACAACCTGTCCCCTAACATCCTGAGCAAACTCTTCCCACCTCCAGTGGGGAGCTGGAAATCACTCTGACCTTTCCAGCAGTGAATAAAGGCTGTGAAAGGAGAGCACTGAAATGCCCAGCTCCTGTTTTCTCTCTCTTGGGCAGTTAAGCACACTGGTGAGGTCTTCCTGGCCACAACTCACCTCCTTTTCCAGATCCTAGTTCTGGATCATTGTCCCTAAAGATATCACCCAAAAATCTGCCAGCCTGACCCAAAGGCAACACTGAAAGCTCTGCTCGCTGGGTTTGGCAGTCACACATCACCAGTCATCCTCTTCTTGAAGCCAGTGGTCAAGGAAGCCACAGCATCCCTGGAAAACCCTCTGCAGGGATTAATTTATTCCCAGTTCAGCATTATCCTCTGCTGGGATGGCTGATCCCTCTCTCCAACATCTGTCCCCAAGCTCTGATCCTGTCCCACTCCTGTCCACCATGGCTGATGATGAACTCTGCCCACTGTGGATCTGCTTTCTGGGCAGAGGGAACCTGGAAGAGTTCAAGGCCAGGCTGGATGGTGCTTGCAGGAACCTGAGATAGTGGAAGGTGTCCCTGCCCATGGAAGGGGGTGGAACTGGATGGGCTTTAAGGTCCTTTCCAATCCAAACTATTCTGGGATTCAGTGATGTTCCTTCCCCACCCAGCCTAACACAACCAAACTGGAGCTTGGCAAAGCTTCCTGATGTTTCCAGGGGGGGAATTTTCCCTGAGCTTATAAAACCACAAAGCCAAAGAAATCCAAAGGCACGTTAAGGATATGGCCGTTCCTACAGAGCTGTGTCCAACCAATGTGCTGCTCCCTGGTTTAATTTAAGGGATCCTCCCCTGTTCTCCAGCACAGCCCTTCAGACACACCCTCAGCTAATTTCAGACCTTTGCTTCCCAGCTTTCCTGCAAGAATCCAGGCACCAACAGAGCAGGTTGGTGTTTTTACCCATAGAATAATTACAGGCGAATTACAGATTCCAATTCCAGGTTTGCAGCTTTCTTTCTGTCCCCTCTCACTCGCAGGGGAATCACCTTCCTTCAGCCAAACCCTCCAGGAGCTCTGCTCCCAGCAATCCCCTGTTAACCTCTCCATGCCCAAACCTTGTCTTTTGGGGGTTACCAGGCACATACCACATTTGCCAGAGCAGATTTTTCTTGCAGGAATATAAGACTCTCGCTTTGGTCACCTCACTGAGTTACCACATATTTCTTTTCAACAGTAGCTTAGCTAGAAGGAAATCCATAAAAAATATCCAGTAGTGCCTCCTCCGTCAGCAGTGATCCCTCTCCAGGGCAGATCACTCACCGGGGTTGTGAGAAATGGTGTTTAATTCCCCATTTTGCCCTTTTCTTCTCCCTGGAATGTGCTAAACAAGAGCACAGCATACAGAAATAGGAGATAACTCCCTCTGGGCATCTTGCTGCCCCCCAGCAGCACATATTCCATTAATTCCCCATGGCACGCTCCAAGGGGGCATGGCTTTTGGCAGGGGAAAGGCAGAATGTGCTCAAGGATTTCCAAGCTGACAGGAGACTCAAGGACGGAGCAGTTGCAGTTCCCCAGCACCTTTTTTAGGCTCAGGTACAGAAAGTTTGCACCCCGGGATTTGTGAGCCACCAGCACACCCTCCTCTGCTTCCCAGCCCAACAGCCCAAGCCCTGAGAGCCACAGAGCTGAAGGACACAGGAAATCCAAGACCAGATCTCCCATGGCATTGCCCAGTGCCTCCAATCCCACTCTGCTTCCAAAGACCCTTGGATCTCACAGCCTCCACAGGCAAAAAGGAATCCAGCCCAAAAGCTAAACTCAGATGAAGCCCTTCCCACAGCTTCCTGTGTTTGACATTCCACAGGGGACGCTGGACAAAATCCTTGCCCCTCTTTCCTTTCCCAGCTGTTTCTCCCTGCCCAGTACAAGTTCTGTGATATCAGCCAGCTCAGCTCTGCTAAACCCAAGCCTGAGGAGCTGGATCCCCACCTGAGATGTTGCTGCAGCTGAAGCTGAGCTTCCCAACCCACCTCCTTCTCCGATTCCAGTTCATCCCTGCCATTTGCACCAGATGCCAAGGCTGGTGTGCATCCCTCAGGGAGCACTGTTCCCTTCAGTGCCACGGCCACTGCCCAGGAGCCCTTCTGGCACAGCACCCTCTGCTCCACCATGGAAAAGGGATTTGGCAGGTCTGCTGGTGCTGGCAGTCAGGCTCTCCCAAGGCTCCAAGGGACCCTTCCGTGAGACTCCACACCACAAGCTCAACGATTCCCGGCTGGCACAGCCCCTCCACCCCCAATTCACAAAGCATCAGATCCTGCTGGTTTAGAACCACTTCAAAACCACTCCTCACCAGTCACTGCGCTTGACTCCATCCTCTGGCAGAGCCACACCTAGAGGAACCAGCCAAAATCTGGGAAAATACCTGGGAGGGCTCAGCTCCAGCTTCCCTCCATGTGAGGAGGGATTTCAAGCATCTCCCCCTGCCCACATGAGGTGGAAATTGTCAGCAGAACAAAACAAAGTTTCTCCACAATTCATCCCTGAGAAATTCCACACTTTTAACCAAAATCATGAATACACAGCAAACAAACCTACCTTGGTTCCAGCTCTGGACATTTTCCGTTCCAGCCAAGCTCCCCTGTGCTGGAGGAATGTCAGCAGCTGTTACAAACAGCCAGGATCTGAGGTGCCCTTTTTATAACGGGCTTGTTTTAAACCAGACAGCCGCTTTGTCATGAGAATAGGATCCAAAAATTGAGTCAGTGATTCTGAGGCTATAGCCGATTTCCAGAAAAGCAAACAGGATTATGGAATAAAGGAAGGCTTCGCCATCCTCCCTTTGTTACCATTTGCTGAGTCAGAACACCAAAACTCTGCCAAATGCACTCAAAACATGCAGCCCCCTGCCAAGGACGGGTGGTAATTTGGCTGCTCCCTCCCTTCCAAGCTTGTTAAACAAGAAGGAATCCTTGCTGGCTCTTAGAGACTCACCCCATTTGTAAGGAGGGCACAGGGTATTCATCAGGCAATGCTCCCGTGCAGTGAAGGATGCAGTTAAGGAACAATAAACAAGTGCTCAGAGCAGACATCAGAGGATTGCAAAGACCAGCTCTGTATTGAAAGCTCTCAATGGAGACATCTGTACAGCAAAGAGGCTGCAGATTTACCTGGGACATCCTCAGCTGGAGCCACACTGCTCCAAACACCTCCTAACATAAAGAAGGATTTGTGGCCATCTCCCCACTGCCCAAAAAGTGAATGATTTCACACATCAAACAGTGTCCAGATTTCTGGTTGTCTCTGCATGTTACAGTGAGCTCATGGGCATTCTGTTTCCCCTTCCCTGGGACCCTGTGACTCTGATCAAGATAACCCTGGACCCTCCTTTCTGCCCCAATGGGGTTGGTGGAGAGCCAGGGAAGCCCACCCTGTCCAAAACCTATATAGACCCCTGACATTTCCTGTTCGTCCTCTTTTGCCCCGCTCTCCACAAGGACATCACAGAATAAAGAGAGCTGAACCAACAATCTCGGGGTAAGAGCCTCTTTTGGAAATCTTTGTCATTTCCTGATATTCCTCCCCTCACAGCCTCTGATCTCTGAGCTAGCCTGATTATTCAGGAGGCTGTGTGAAGGGGGGAATGTCATCTGCAAGCATCTCAAATTCAACCCCAGCTCTCAGCCCAGCACCTGAGGTTGGAGCAGAGGAGTTCTCCCTTCAGCCCTGGGAGCAGGGAGGCCGAGGATCAGTGGCTTCCACAGCCACCCCCCCGCCAGTGCATGATGAAAAACCACCTCTGCAGCTATTCAGTGCCCCAGCCCAAAGGCTTAGCGAGACAAAGGGACGTGAATTTGGCACAGCAGCGCCCGAAACACGCAGCCCCTCTCAAATCTGTCAGGACAAGCACTCTCGCAACAGCAGCTCTGTAAATGCAGGCAGATGGGAGAGCCTGGGGCACACACAATCAGCAGCTGCTCCTCTTCCAATTTTAGGAGCCTTGAATCACCCAGAACGGTTGCTCTCACTGAGGCCACTTGGATTGATTTAGTTTTTAACTACTGAAGATCACAGTTCAAGCACAAGCTGGTTCTATCAACAGGTTCACAGCTCAAAGCTGTGGTCACTTTGCACAACCTTCCTTTAGAAGTTGGTTAAAAACAATAAACTCATCTTAAATAAATAGAATAAATATAATAAACTCACCTCACCTGCCTGCCCAGGAGCCAAGGGAGACCTTCAGAGGAATTCTGAGGCTGTGCAGTTGAGAGCACTGTGCCTTCCCCTCACTCTCAGCTTGGATAGCTCTTCCCAAGGCACCACCACCAGCTGCTGCCTCCACTCATCCATGCAATGCCTTTGCCTATTTTCCAAGCTTATTTAATTGCTCAGCTATGAGCACATCTCCCCAAAACACATCCCACCAGCACATGAGAATGGTGCTTATTCAAGCTGATAATCTTTATGAAAATTATGAGAGATAGGAATTGGGCTTGTAGCAAAACCTTGTGCCAGGGCAGCCTTCAAAACCTTCAGCTGCATGGCTGAGGTTTACAGGAGTTTTACTTTCAGCCTGGCAGGACTTATATTCGTTTTTTGCCCCACTTTCCCCATAAATTAGCAGTTTGTCTCTCTGACAGGCTCAAATTTCATTAAGATAAAAGATGCTGTGTCCCCCCTAAGACCAACTGTACAGGTAAAACCCCTTCCCCAGGGCATGTGCCAGGTTAATCCAACAAATCTGGTTTATTGACATTTGTCAAAACGATGCAACCATATACAAAAATTAATCTTCAAAAAGTGCCATCTTCATACTAAAAAAAAAAAAAACAAACCTGTTTGATTTCATCCATAAAAAATTTAAACATCTTTTTCATATTTATAAAAACAGCACTTCTGGTTTGTACCATGAGGATGCAGGTGATGCCCAGGGCCTGCATCCAGCTTTGTCCCAGGACTGGTGTGCTGGACATCTGCTCACCATGGACACCAACTGCTGTGGCAGCTCTGCAACAAGGCACAACTTCATCTTCCCCCAGTGCCAGGCACCTCTCAGTCACCAACAGGATGGCTACAGCACATTCCTGGGAATGCAGCAATGCTCAGGAATCCTACAGCAGCCAGGCAGTGCCACCCACATCGGGGCTGGGTGTCAGATCCAGTGGGTGCAGGTGGAATGGCACAAAGTCTTCATGAGAACTGGGCTGAGTGGATCACTGGCTGTTCCCAGAGCTCTGGAACAAAATAAAAGGAGATAATTTTACTTCTAACACCAGCAAAAAAAAGAAAAAAAATTCAAAGGCTAAATCAAAAATAAAACTATTATCTAATGTTTCGAAACATGCCATGGCAGAAGAGCACAATAAGGGCAGCTCCTAAACCACTCTGCTTGGGAAGAGTGAGAATTATCCAAAGTCTTATTGTAAGAATGACCCAAAGTCTCATTGAAAGAATGACCCAAAGTCTCACTCAACTCTCTTTAGCAAAAAGTGAGATGGGCAGACATCAATACACAGAGTTTCTTTGAAAGAGCAGCTATTCCAATCAGTTTTGTATCACATCATGTGCAATATGCCCATCTGCCTTACAGATGTTTCCAACAAATCAAACTTGGCACCAAGGCCGTGCTGAGGACACAGATTTCAGCTGAGAATGGGTTTTGACAGGAAAGTAAGAACTAAACCCAAATGCCAGGCTCTTGTGAGAACATTCACTCAGCCTCCTGCTTCTCCTACCTACCTCTGCCTTGGCTGTGCACACAAACATGGGACAATTCTTGGGGGAAGAGAAGCAAGAAAAGGAGGCCTTTTACTCACCTGCCTTTCCTTCTGCTGCCCAGGAGTGTTGTCCTGCCCAAAATGTTATCCTGCTGCCTGCTTGGAGCCCAGGGCAGGAGGGACCAGGCTGTCCAGCTGCTGCCGGTTCCCCGTCTGAACCAGCCACTCATAGAATTTGTTTTCTACCACAGCCTGGAACTGTTTCCTCTGATCCCTGAAACAGACACAGCAGCAGGGAAATGTGGAAAAATCACATTCATTCACAGTATTATACTTCTGCCACATTTTCACTATCCAAACAAGCCTCCAGATGTATCAGGAAGAGCCAGGCTTGGTTCCTGAACTTGCAGAAACAACCAGAAAAGGTTTTTACTGAGTGAATGTGATGGTAATGACCAGGTTCCCCAAAGGCAGAACCTGGTGGAGTTGGAGAAGTCATACAAAATTCCCCATCCCACCACCACAACCACCCTGCTCCAGGGCTGCTCCACCTTCCCCTCCGGGCACAGCTGAAAAATTGTCTGAAAAGGGAGAAGACTAAGATTAGCAACCAGTGCTTAAGCACTAAGGACACAAAATTCTGTTCTGACAGCACCAGAGAGGATGGAGATCAGGGGAAAAATGCTCCTATAAACACACCTCACTTCATTCCTGTTGCTCATTATGAACTTTTGAGAAGGTTTGGGCGAGCCTAACAGGGTGGATCACTCAGCTCAGGCTAACTGGCACTGGTCAGATGCCCAAAAACATCTCCAGAGCAGCATCCTGGGTGTCTGGGATCAGCTCACATCTGGAACTTCTTAAGCCAAAGGTGGCACAGAGGTTGAGTAGCTCCTGATGGACTTTTTCAAGAAGTTTACACAATTAATTTCTCAACACCAATGAAACATGAACATTTTCCAATATTCCAGAGATTTTATGTGGGTTTGCTTTGAACCCATTCCTAATTTGATGTGCTGACCCCATTCTGTACTGGGAAAAGCAGGAAACCAGCTCCAGAGGAGACAACAAAGATGATCAGAGGAATGGAGCACCCCTTCTTGAAGGAAAGGCTGGGAAATCTGGAATTGTTCAGCCTGGAGAAGAGAAACTTCAGGGTGAAATCACTGTGGCCTTCCAGTGCCTGAAGGAGCTACAAGAAACATGGAGAGAGACTCTTTGCAAGAGCCTGAAGTGACAGCACAAGGGGGAATGGCTTCCCACTGCCAGAGAGCACGGTCAGATGGGATACTGGGAAGGAATTCTTCCCTGTGAGGGCACTGAGGCCCTGGCACAGGGTGCCCAGGGAAGCTGTGGCTGCCCCTGGATCTCTGGAAGTGTCCAAGGCCAGGATGGACAGGGCTTGGAGCAACCTGGGACAGTGGAAGGTGTCCCTCCCCACATTAGGGGGTGGAATCTGGTTGGGTTTTTAAGGTCTCTTCCAATTCAGGCCATTCTATTCAGTTTTGTCCCACTTGCCCTCAGACAGGCTCCATGTATCCACACCGTTTTTTCAAGTTAAGGCTGCTGTCTGTTTGGAACACAAACTAACCCAAATTCCTCCCCAGTGAATACAAAGACAGCCACTTCTTTCTTCCCTTGTGGATTTATCTTCTCCAAGAGCTTTTCCTCTGCCTTGATCTGCTACTGACCCTGAAAGACTTTCTGTCTGATACGCTCAGAAAAATGAATAAACAGGATTTTATGCTTTTGCAAGTTGTTCCTCAAGCTGTCTTCTTGGTCCTGTCTTACGGGGGTTTTACTTTCAGCCTGGCAGGATTTACATTCTTTTTTTGCCCCACTTTCCTCAATCAGACAACTTCAACTTCTTGAAAGATGTCTTCTTATTTCTAACACTCTCTTTCACCTCCCCGCTTGAGCACAGCAGCTTTTTTCTTTCTACAAGCCTGATATCCTGTTTGCTCTAAGCTTCCTACTTGTCTCCCTTCTTGTTTCCCTGCCTGCAGCAGACAACAGACATTTTCCACTGTCAGCTGCCCAGTTTCTTTTCAACAAGCTTCTAAACTTGCCAGAGTTTCCCCCCTTTTATGGAATAAGCAGCAAGCTCTTGCCTCCTGTGACTGCAGCAGACAATGGCAAATCTAAGCACATCATCCCTATTTCCTCATATTTCTTTCACAGGAAGGTTCTGACAGGCCAAACACCTTCCCAAAACTGTGGAGGGAAGCAGCAGCCAGGGGAGAACAACAGATGCTTGGAAATGGAGTTTTATCCCCATTCTGTGCTTGCCAAGGGAGCTGGGCAGAGGATTCCCTGTGATCTGCTCCAGAGGAATTTAAAAGCTACTGCCCAAAGGTGATCTGCTGCAATGCACATTCCCAGCTCACCTCAACAAGGGCTGGGACAGCCATTTACAGCTTCAATCCCAAGGTGAAGGCTGGGCTAAAAGGGACCCCAGGCAGCTCAGGGGCACACCCAGCCCTGGCCCAATCCTCAACAGCACCTGGGAGTGCTTTCCCTGGAGTCTCATAACCTGGGAAAATACAGCCATGAGAAAGCACCTCCTTAAGAGCAGCGTGGGCGAGGGAGGGGACTGTCCCCCTTCACTCCACTTGGTGAGGCCCCACCTGCAGAGCTGCCTTCAGCTCTGGGATACCCAG